TAAAAAAATCCACCGGTAGATTTGGCGCGCTGCAAGGGTGAAAAGTCCTTTCCAGCGTACTTACGAACCGCGAAAAAAAAAACTGGAATGGACTTTGGGAAAGTCTATCCTGGATACTGTTCTGTCAATTGCCTTAATTATCACTGTACTGCCTACTTTGTAGTAATTATAATAGTAATACAGTTAAGGTTTTTGGCATAAATAAAACTCACTTTATCGCTGATATGTTCATGTACATTTGGGCTTAAATAACTAAGCTTGATGCTTGTGATGTTACCCTGAGTGTATATCCACACCGGGCAAGCTTGAAAAATATGCCTGGCCACGATATATTCCTGGCTAAAAAGAAGATTTAACTGGATCCTATTATTTACCACAGTATGAAAATAAAGAAACTGTGCTGATTTTCTAAGTTTTATTTTCATTAATTATGTATGTTCTTGTAGGTCCACTCAAAGCAATTCCTTTAAACGAGGTAGGTCGCTGCAATGTTCACATCCTTGTAATCTATTTTATAAATAGTTGACCACTGAGCGTAAAAAAATCCAAATTCATCACATCACATCACATCAAAAAGTAATCTATATTCAGTATATTGTGTATCTACACTGAACGAGCAGGGGTGTAGTAGAGGGCGATAGTTCAAGGCTCAGCCTTGCTATAATTTCATTTGGGGGGATGATTCCCCAATATTACCTCGAAACTATAGTGTTGAAATGAAACGATAATGTGTTCTTGATATATTAGAGACATAATAGCTTAGCCCAACTTGCAGTCCCATGCAGGATATCGACACAAACGATGTGAAAATAACTTTGCTAAATTTCTAGTTAAATCGTTCTTTAGAAACACTAATTGAAGAATTGCTAGAACCAAAAATAGATACTGAAACTTTCCATGTTTATCATGTTGACCCTTCGCCCTGCTCATCATCGCAAAATGTTATCGTTTTGTTTTACCTACAAGTAAAGAAAGTTCAACCATTAAGTTTTCGGGTTAGAGGTGTGACGGATTGAGATTTACATTCGCCCGATTCCAACTCGAGATGCCAACAAATGCTTGATACAGTATTTGCACATAACCTACACATGGCAGTACCTATAGTGTATATACATGAACTTGTGGTTAGAGCTCGACAACTGGCCTCTGTAGCTCAGTTACGTTGGTTAGAGCACTGCACCAGAGTCGCAGGGCCGCAGGTTCGATTCCTGCCAGGGACCTGAAGTTGCATTTTTCTCTTCTGTTCCTTGTTAGGTCTAATAAATGTATATAAATTTCCACTCGATAATTTCCATCTACAATACCCTTCAGCTAATATTAAATCGAGTGAGATGCCAAAAAAATCTTGACATTTTATTAACAACAGCTGTTCATAACAAAAGGGAGTATAAAAGACTTACAAAAAAGTAAGTAAAACATCTTTGGAAAAAAGCACTTGAAACAAAGTTTTTTAGCAAAACGACAACGAAAAATCTGTCAGTGCTCACATTAAGATCATTTTCATTAGAATTATGTGTAGGTTCTTAGCCAATTTCAAACGAAAGGGCATCAGCATTGTATAGTAAAAACATTGTTCTGCTGCTGTACTATATTCTTTATTCTTCAGCCTCTTGTGGATCTTATTGAATCATTAAAACCAGAAATTCAAGATTTGATGGAAAACTGTAATTCGGTAAGCAAAACATAATATAGAAATTACGTTTAGTGTCTGCATGGTCGGCAGCGTATCAGATTGAATTCCTCTACTAAGGGTATGATGTACACTATAGCTATTACCGAACCTAAAGTGCACCTAACCCCAATTTTTCTAACATCTCATTCCTATAAGAACCTTTGAAATGATATATTAATATTGTAACTTCTTTTGAAGATATTCGTTTGCACACTTTGTCTCTGTTATTTCAGTTTCATTGATAGGCAAATGTCCGGAATTTACGTCACATATGAATCATGCCTGTCAGATGTTGGGATCCTAGGTAGCGGCGCTACCTGCAAGTGCCTGAAGCTAACTTATCCTTGGTCAGAAGGTTTTATGCATGCTTAAGTAAAGTAGAAAATTTCAATTTTTTTGAATACATTTTGCAACATTTAGGCTACCGACCATGCAGTTTTAATAAGAGTCGTACTCAACACGTAAATTCATCAAATGATGCCATCAAAAACTTAAAATTTCCTGTTCTGTGGCTGAATTTTATGTATCATCCGATCAATCTTGTCGGTTTGATATATTAAAATTTTCGAGCAATTGGGTTTGAGCAAATTAGCGGACATTCAATTTTGACAATATGAAAATTTCTTCGGTGCTTGGTCCCCTGTCGCAATTTGCAAGATTGAAGATTCAAGTGAAACGGGCGAGTTTGGACCACTCAGGGCTAACTGCAAATTTTCTTTGGCTACCTGCAAAAAAACTAAATATATAGAATGTAAGGTACAGTTAAATATCATGAAATAAAAAGGCTGAATGGTGTTTTACACAGGTATGTAATCCTCCCACAACTCCAAACTTCATTTTAATGAATCAAACTCGATAGTGAATAAGGTATACAAGCTTTTACTTTAAATCATTGTGCATTTGTGACGTAAATTCCGGATATTTGCATACCAAACAAACTGAAATATCTCAGAAACAAAGTGAGCAAACGAAAATCTTCAAATTATTATATATAATTTCAAAAGTTCTTAAGAATGAGATGATAAAATAATTGAGGTTAGGTGCACTTTAAGCAATGTTTAACCTATGAGACAAAAGCAGTCAAAACTGAAGTGAGGTCTTCATGCATTTTCTTTCTCAAATATAGGTTAAAACGTGGATTCAATTGCTCATCCCGCGAATTGAAGATGGAAACAATTTTGGAGTTTCAATTCAAGTAATTTCCTATCTCTAATATACTCTCATTGTTTAGGATAATACAGTATACCGGTGTTTTTATAAATTGACTTTCGCATTTCGTTTTCTATAATGAGTGGTGTTTTTGTCTCTAGTGTAATAGACAATATCCAAATTACGCTCTCATTGTCAAGAACAATAACACCAAGTCGAGGTTTAGTGCTAATTTGCTATAGAAACATTACAATTTAGTGCGAAGCCTCGTTCTTAGGCTATTGTCTGTGGGCGTTCGACCAAAATTCGGAAATAACTAGCAAACGAAGTGAAAAATTTAACTTGTAACAAGCTTATATCGATGCTCTTTGTGTATTTGTAGGAAGATATTCTTGGTGAAGTTACTCGCATAGAAGCAGAAGCAGCATCATTTCTAGACCAAATCTCAAGGTACAGTGGGTTAATTGTCATCATGACAATTGTTGACAATTACTTGATATACTTAATGTTAATGAATTTTTGAAGTCATCAGATTTTTTTTTATATATATAAACTTTATTAAGATGTTTACTCCAAAAACCAAGCTTATCTAGGGGGCTCACATATACAAAAAAGGATGTATAAAATTAATTACACAAAATAACACACATAGCCTATATTAAGTGCAATACGATAAATAACACACATATATTGAGTGCAATATATATAAACAATAAACCAAGTAAGACAGTGTTACAGAGAAGACAAGACGCACAAAACATTGCTAGAAGAAGCGACAAGTATCCAAAATAAAACATTGAACAGCACCGAACAATAAAAAATTTTCATCTAAATTTTGATCAAAACTTCATTCATATCAGGATAATTCTTGTATTGTTTCTTTTAGTATTGTACAGTATAGTAGTTGTAAAATTCTTGCTTGTTATTGTAGATATTTCATCACTCGAGGTAAAGTTGTTTCAAAAGTCGTCAAATATCCTCATATTGTAAGTATTTACTGTAATCTAATATCAAATTAACATACTTTAAGGAGGAAGGGCGTTTATTAAGGAGAATCGTTTGTTGTACAGCAATGTTACTCTTCTTATGCAACAGTTTCCAGCAGTTTGCAGAGTGAACATAAGCCAAGACTCCTTAAATTTAATGGCTCTTGGGAATCAGTGTTTATTAGATATAGGACGTTTATAATAGAGAGAGCCGTGTATAACCAAATTCTGGTTTAGCCTCGGGAACTACTATAGGTCGGAGGCGTTTATCAGAGTGGGGTCTTTAATCTTTATTAGATTATTTACGGAGTATAGGACGTCATAGGTGTGCGAAGTTAGATGTTTGTTTAGGTGTTGTTGGAATGGTATTATTAAATTAAAATCGGTAATATGATGTTAAAATCGTTCATTAAGAATTATTGCAAGTTTTAAAATGGTTTTGATTACTTAAAACATTAATAAAACGATCTATCTAAACAATACGACTAAAAATCCTGGGTTTCCGGTTTTCCGACCCTACCTAGCTTGTGGACACGGGCCATAATCTTTTTATCTGAAGTTTGCAATGCTGCAAACTTATCGTATACCCAGTCTGTAGCGTTATAGTTTAGTTATATAAGGTGCTGTATAACCTTCCATCTGTGCTACCGTAATTGACGTAGTATATCATTCCCAGACATGCATGAACATTTATAAAATAAGAAACGCATTAACCCAGGTACTTATTTTTTTTTTGCCTAATCTGTGTATGAACTATGATTAACAACTCAAAGTATTTTATGTTACATTTACACAATCAAGTGATAATCAAGCCGGTTGATTTCGTTTTCTTAGTAATTTTCTCGGAAATAATTTCCCACTAAGTAATGCGGCGTGTATAAGATGAAACGTGAAGCATTTCCACAGTACGGTTAAGTGTTGAGCAAGACAATGCAATGCAATACAATACACTTTTCCGGAAAGTATAATCAGTTTTGGCTATTGAGCCTCGCTTTCGTTATTTGAGATATTGCATGGGTTTAGAATCCTTATCTTGTTGCTGATGGACACATTTACGGAATAAAGTTATATAAAGAACCTTGATATCTAATTAGGTCATCAGTAACAAGATAAAGGACTCTAAAGCTGATATCTTAATCCCGAAAATGAGGCTCTATAGCCAGGGCTAAATACAATTTTCGGAAGGGTCTAATGGGTGATTGCTTCAAAATACCTAAAATACATTGTCTTCGCAGTGCTAGACTTTCACAATTTTTTCTGACCATATTTTGATTGATTATATTTTGACTATATATAATGGTAGAAGCATATAATATTGTTATGATACCGCACTGTAAATATTTTTTGTTTTAAAGGTTCATTGAATGTAGAAAGAATAGTGTTTTTATAGTGTAATCATGCTCTTGTCTGTTTTTGGTAGATGGACTACAGAAGAACTGTCGTGGAATTGGATGAAAAAGAATATATCAGCTTGAAACTGTGTTGTTGTGAACTGAAAAACCATTATGTAAGTTTTATATAGTGTAAAGTCGAACATACTTCCATAGTTCGAAGACGGCTCTAAGTTTAAATGTTGAAGCTTTCTGAAGGTACTGGTCAAAAACTGAAAATTCATGTGGACGGAGTGTCATCTAAACCTGGAGAAAATGGCTATCAACAATAGTCTAACAATAAGGCTAGAATAGCTATTGCTCGTTTGCAATCGACGCCATCTTGGTTGATTTTCAAAACATATGTACCTGGCAACTAAAAATCTATATTCTTCATTCTTTGTCGTATTGTACCAGAAATCGTAAACTATCCATAAAATGTAAAGATGTTTTCAAAACAAACCAAAAATATTAAAGTAACTCAACTATTTCGATGTAAACGGCTGGACAAAACTTTAAAATCAACCAAGATGGCGCCTAATGACACGTAGTGACGTCATGCGCAAGCAAAGAATTGAGCCAAATTCAAAAGCTATTTGGGCAGGGTCTGCCTGAGTCGCACACCCGTTAGACTTTGATTGCAGGATCCATTCTCGTCCACCGGGCTACTAGTTAGCGACCAATAACAAAACTCAAAATGGAACTACCAGCTGATCTCACACACTTGGCAGAGCACATTTTGCAAATACAAAACATTTTCGAAAGCTAAACTAATTTGCAAAAATAAATAGAAATCATTTCCGAAATAAACTATTTTATTGGTGTGATCTTCGAAGGAACGCGAAGTGTTTTCAGCGAAAATTGTACAGGGTGCACTAAAACATGGGCAAATACTGCACGTGTGTGGATGTCTAAAGATACCTTTTTCCAAAGCCCTCCATATTCTCTTTGAATAATTTCTAGTTATGTCTTCATGATGCTATTAGCAAAAACCTGGACAAAATAAAAAAGCCGCGATCCTCCAACACGGATTCATTATACTAACAACCTACTACCTCCTTCATCCTACAACTCAATGGTATCCGATCTGCAAGATTTGATGCCAGAAGACAGAATAGCGTCCCGTAAAAGGCGGTTACCTTTGAAGGACCAACATGTTTTCAAGTGGAACCACCCGTGAGAAAAACCATTTAAGGAATCTGAACTTATATAAATATTTCAACACTCTAAAAAATCTCTGAGTATTGTGACTTAAAAACTTGAGTAAAATAATGCACTCACAGTGACTGAAATTTATGAGCAAATTTACTCAAAGTTTCAAATTTACTCAATTTTTGAGTAAATACTTATAAAATTATTCAAATTTGCTCAGAAATTTGAGTAATTTTGTATACTTAAAATTTTGGCTCACTGTCGTCACATTACTTTAATCATTTTTTAAATCAAATACAAAAGTCAAAATTTTTTGCAATGAAATGATTTTCATAACGTGATTTTCACCATAGTTGACGTTATAATTTGTGGTAGATCAAGCACAATGGGGAATTAATTTGAATGGAAAACGGGACATCGGATAAGTGTGCAGCTTACTTTTCTGAAAGTGCTCTCCACCACTACCATAAATGAAAATTAAAATATCAGCGTGTACTGTTTGAGGCTGACGCTATTTTTCTAATGATCTTCTTTAGCGGTGTGCACCACACTGCCCAGTACCTACTTTATGAGCCCACGCAAAATGTATTGTTTTGATATTGAAAACAAAAGTTTTGATATTGAAAACAAAACAAAATCCATAAAACCATATTTACGTGATGTATAAATATTGTGTATAATAACTTAGTAACTTAGAGGTGGGTTTAGGGTAGGTGTTTAGGTTATAACTTGAATTAGGGTAAATGCTAGTATATTTTCATTGCCAGTACTATTTTTCCATTGTGAGAGATTGCAGGTGTTTTCCATTGTGCTTGCTGTGCTTGCATTATGGTATCGGCTACGTTGAGACTTCTTATATATTTTTGTATTATATTTAAAGTTGAGTGCCAGTGCATGTTGGCCGCTTTGTTTCACGAAATATAACAAAATGTTAGGCTTTGTTTATCGCTACTCAGAAAAAATACTACAAGAACTTTTACATTATTATATACTTTTACATTATTATGTACTTTTTCAAGCTGATAATGGGTAATAAAATCCAGATTGGAAGTACAAAACAAGAAAGGACGTCGTGTATTCCTTAACATTTCTCCAATCCAAAGCGTAAGACTAAGGCTCCATCTGGACAAAATGACAGCATACACGAATTAAGAAGTTCTCATATATATCGAACGCTCTGAAATGATAAAAAGTAGAAAACGGGGAAATTACGCAATATTTAGTAGATCACGGCAAGAGATTGGGAACTAGTGATGCGGGGGGGGGGGGGGGTTTTTACCGGAA